CAATTTTAGACAATTAAATTAGAAAATTTTAGGCATTACTCGATTGATACACTTGGGATCAAATTTGGCAGAATTTCTAAAAGCAGGCAAATTCTGGTTATTTCCTCAATTTGGCATGGGATGAACAAGATTAGAGGGAAAAATGGTCCTGGTTTGTGTCTGAAATTCCTTTTTATCCGCTAAACTTCTGAAACTACCAATTTGGTGAAACAGTTCAAATGGGTATTGGTGAAGAAAGCTTCTCAAGTTCTCTACTTACACTTTGCCTTGAAGAAACGTGCACTCATTCAAGAACTCCACGAGAAGCAAGAACAGGTATCACAAAAGAAAAAAGTTGATTCGTTTCTCTTTATTGAAAATGACTAAATTATTTCAAAAGATTCTAACTTTATGATTTCGCTCATTAATTTGGTCAAACACGAAAGGTCAAGGAATGGCTGCATTACTTAGGAATGGTTGATCAAGTAGCAGTGACACAAGATGCTGAAGAGCCTGATGATGGAGCAGTTCCATTGCACCACCAAGAAGATAGTGTTAGAAGCAGGTAGAGTTAGTTTGCTTCATTCAGCATTACGATCTCTGAACTTCCATTTCTTCGTGCAAATTTGTCTTATAGTATCTTAAAGACTTTCAACTGTTGATTATATATCAGCAGAAGCGTGCCATCAGCAGCTGCATTGTCAATCATTCGTCCGACGCTAGGAGGGCAGCAGGCGATTGCTGATAGAGGAAAGGTGGCAATGCAGAATTACTTGAACCATTTCCTTGGTAGTATGGATATAGTCAACTCCAGAGAGGTAAGGAAAAAAGATCGAGTTGCTTCAATTTTGCAACGAAATACTTCTTCTCTCAACTTTTTCGCATAATGTCATCTTCGAATGTAGGCCTGCAAATTTCTCGAGGTCTCCAAGATGTCGTTCTCAAGGGAGTATGGTCCAAAGTTGAAAGAAGGGTACGTGATGGTGAAGCATGTGCCAAAGATATCTTCAAGGGACGAAAATTCCGCTGCAAATTGCTGCCCATGCCATTGGTTTTCTTGCTGTTGTAACAACAACTGGCAGAAGGTAATATAAGTCCGGAAATTAGAAACTTGGTTTGATGTTTTGTCGAATGTGCAATACATCAGCTTCTTTTGTAATGGTGCAGGTTTGGGCAGTTTTGAAACCTGGCTTCTTAGCCTTTCTGCAAGACCCTTTAGATGATACAAAGCTATTAGACATTGTTGTTTTTGATATTCTATCAACACCAGACAAAGGTGAACCACGAGCATTAGCAAGCCAGATCAAGCAGCGTAATCCTTTGCGCTATGCCTTTGAGGTTGGCCAGCCTAAATTGTCAATTCTTGTTTTTATTTTGCCAGTGGTTTGTTGACTGACGTATCTGAAATGTGTGATAAGGTTTCATCTGGTAATCGGAGCATAAGAGTGAGAGCTACAAGCAGTGGAAAAGTGAAAGGATGGATCGCTGCTATAAACGATTCCTCTTGGTGCCATCCTCATCGATTCGGTTCCTTTGCTCCTCCAAGGGGTTTGACCAACGACGGAAGTGAGGCTCAGTGGTTTGTAGATGGGGAGGCAGCATTTGATGCAATTGCCTCAGCGATAGAGGATGCAAAATCTGAGGTAAATTGTAGCTAAGAAGAGAATTTGAAAGATTCTGGTGTTGCTTCTTTGGCAATAGCAGATCATAATCCATATTTGTATAGCCTCAGAATCTGAAACTTTCATTTCAAGACCCAAATTTTGATCAAAAGCTTATGTGTGCAGATATTCATTACTGGCTGGTGGCTTTGCCCTGAGCTATATCTAAGACGCCCTTTCGAGAGTCATTCTATTTCTCGGCTCGATTCTTTACTTGAAGCTAAAGCAAAGCAAGGTGTCCAGATTTATATTCTTCTATACAAGGAGGTGTCCATTGCTTTGAAAATCAACAGCTCTTATAGCAAGAGAAGGCTTCTCGACATACATGATAATGTCAAAGTACTGCGATACCCTGACCATCTCGCCACTGGTGTCTATCTATGGTACGCTATTGGTGGCTGGACATTCAGCAGAATCCGTTATTTCCTTGAGAATGTGCTTTCCTTATTTTTCTGTTGTTTTGCAGGTCTCACCATGAAAAACTTGTAATTGTGGATTACCACATCTCCTTTATTGGAGGATTAGATTTATGCTTTGGCCGTTATGACACGATTGAACATAGAATTGGCGATCATCCTGCTCACATTTGGCCAGGGAAGGACTACTACAATCCTAGGTTAGTTTGTGAATCTAGAAACCAGAGAAAATTCCATCATTTCTTGCTCCAACATTCCATTCATGGGTCCATGCAATGTTGTTTTGCTAGAGAGATTGAACCCAACTGTTGGGAGGACATGATGAAAGATGTGTTGGATCGAAGTAGATATCCACGAATGCCATGGCACGATGTCCACTGTGCGATGTGGGGTCCACCTTGTCGGGACATTGCCAGGCACTTCGTCCAACGATGGAACCATGCCAAGGTACGATATGTTCTTCACCACTTCTCAATTCAAATGGTATAATGTTTTTTGCCTCTCAGAATATCCGATTTGTTTCCTCAGAGAAGCAAAGCTCTCCACGAGCAAACAATCCCTCTGCTGATGCCTCACCACCATATGGTCCTCCCTCATTACTTGGGGAGGAGCGTCGAGATAGACATTGAACAAAATCATATGGAAGACGAGCAAAAACGAATGAACAGACTGGATTCCTTCTCGTCGTTATCCCCATTCGAAGACGTGCCATTGCTTTTGCCTCAGGAAGCGGATGACTTGGTCGTTCACTCTTGTATGGAGCAGAACACCATTGCTAAAGCCACGGTTGATAGTCTTCCTGATCCCTCTGCTGAAGCAAAAAGACGAATATCGTTTTCGTTCCAGAATCCCATAGTTGAATCTACGTCTGCTCCTGATACTACAACATCGGCAGATTCCTCGTCCAATGAGCTTGACTTCATGGAGCTTCATGGCAACAACAAGCAGGTGTCTGATGAATCGTCAGAAACATCCGGCGAAGAAGATGGTCACCATGAATTTCCCTTTTGTGGTTATGAACAAGTTGGACCTCGTGTTGCATGCTCTTGTCAGGTTTAGAATCACCCTGCCTATAACCATCTTCCCGTTTTTGCCATAAATTACTACTTCCATCAATTATAATGCTGATTGATTATGTATATAGATCATAAGAAGTGTGAGTCAGTGGTCCGCTGGATCTAGCCAAACTGAAGATAGCATACACAAGGCTTACTGCTCTCTCATTGAAAAAGCAGAACACTTTATCTACATCGAGGTATTCGAATTTCATCTGCTTGATGTTCATCTGTTGCTTGATTAAACCATTTAGAGATTTTATAACTCCAAGATGAAATCTGTAAGGTTATGCTAAGGGTATCATTTGAACTTTTGTCCCGTTTTTGTTTTCAGAATCAGTTCTTCATATCAGGGCTTAATGAAGATGAAGTCATCCAGAATCGAGTACTTGAAGCATTGTACAGACGGATTCTGAGAGCACATAAAGAAGAGAAGTGCTTTCGAGTTATCGTTGTCATACCTCTTTTACCAGGCTTCCAGGTAAACTTCCGGGTTGGTAACTTGCTTTCTGGATAGACAGAACAGAACACCGAACTTCATGTTTCTCCTGTGATGTCTCATTGATAGGGAGGAATTGACGATGGTGGAGCAGCAACAGTTCGAGCCATAATGCATTGGCAATATCGAACAATCTCGTGGGAGAAAACATCGATACTGTACCATCTCAATGCTTTGCTTGGTCACAGAGCACAAGACTACATTTCCTTTTATGGCCTGAGGACATATGGAAGGCTTTCTGATGGAGGTCCCATTGCCACAAGTCAGGTGTACGTCCACAGCAAAGTTATGATAATCGACGATCGTGTTGCCTTCATTGGATCATCCAACATCAATGACAGAAGTTTGCTCGGATCTAGAGACTCTGAGGTATTGTTGCTCACATGAAAGATCATAGAGCTCAAGATTCTTCATCTTGGCATAATTAAATCTATCTGCTATTAGATTGGGGTGTTGATCGAGGACAAGGAGTTTGTCGATTCATCCATGGATGGACAGCCATGGAAGGCTGGGAAACTTGCATACAGCTTGAGATGCTCGCTTTGGTCTGAGCATCTAGGGCTAAACAAGGACGAGGTTAGTAATCATATGAGACCTACTGATTCCATCCAGTTACATTAACTGTGAACTCATGAACATTCGTATGATTCAGTTGGCCAAAATCTGTGATCCTGTAGTAGACTCGACATATAAGGACTTATGGCAAGCAACTGCTGAGGTAAGAACAATAAGAGAAAATCTAAAATGGTTTTACCCTTTCTCCTCTTGGCATGCAATTTATAAAAGATTGTCCCTTTTGTTGCATTGGAGCAGGAGAATGCCAAGATATACCAGGAAGTATTTGCTTGTCTCCCCAATGATCTCATCCATTCAAGGTATACTTTTTCTTGATTGATTTTGTTATATTACTGATCTTTTAACTTGAGGTTTGCATGTAAAGTGTTGACATTTTTTCCTTCCCAAAATGAAGGGGTTCTCTGAGGCAAAACATGAACTACTGGCGGGAGAAGCTCGGTGGCCACACCACCATTGATCTAGGCATAGCTCCACCGGAGCTAGAAGGCCACAAAAATGGTGAAACAAGGACAGTAATGGAGAGATTGAGATCGGTGAGGGGGCTTCTGGTTTCGTTCCCATTGGAATTCATGCGTCAGGAGGACTTGAGGCCGGTTTTCAATGAGAGTGAGTTCTATGCCTCATCTCATGTCTTCCATTAGACGACGACCAGCCATGAAAGCAAAAAGAAGATAATATGGAGAGGAAGAAACGTTTAGATGGTACAGTCCTTCCAGTTTGCAACTGTACAGAAGCTGGAGGAACAAGGTAACAGTGTTAGAACTATAGAGGCAATAAACTGTAGTAGACATAGCTTGACATGATTGATTCATTGAAGCTTAGGACATGTTTATTCTTCTTCTTATAAGATCATAGGTCGATAAATGGTTTGATATTTTCAGGTGTATGCATGAGCTCGAAATTTGGTCAGTCTTTTTCGCCACATTGGCTTAGTCATTTGTACAATATGCCATATGCTTTTAGAATCAGAAAAACACCACGGGCTTAACTTTCCTTCATCAACAACATTACGACTTTCTACTACATATGAGGTTAAAACTTCCAGTTGAACAGCTTGAAATATGGTTCAGCATTGCTCCGACATTAGCAATTAGCTATTTGTACAAAATTATATATGTCATATGGATAAGAGAACCGAGATCCAATCAAGTAAGCGGCTCCACTTCGTTGGGGGTGTCCGTCGCTGTCAAAACCTTTACCACAGAATGTGATCCAAGGTCTTAGCTGGGTGTATTCTTCGAGCCCAGATTCTTCTAGTGCCATTCTAGTACCTATTTTACTCAAAACAAGCCGCATCTGGGACTCAAAGTCGGGTGAAATCCGTCTGCTCCTTCACCAGATCAAGAGCAAGTTTCAGCCTCTTATGCACCTGAAACACAGAAACATATGTGCAAAAAAGTAGTTCTTTGAGACATCCCGAGGTAAATAGATATCCAAGCACATCTATTATACTGGAAAACATCACAACTTATACGAAGTAGGTAAAAACTTTTTCGTCACTTACGTTCAACTCTGCAAGCACTTCCTGTAGCTGCAAATTGTTTGCACCATTGGAGATTGCAGCCCCGTGATCGGCCAACCTCGAGAAATCAAACCTCCGTATGAGCTGTACATATTACGACGAAGTTCATAACTCTAATTTACGCATGAAAGAAGTGAAACTAGCATTGAAGAAAAAAGGTTGTTGAACATTTTGCTACTCAGAGTCAGAACAAAAGGGAAAAACAAACTCAACATAAGGCAACTAGAGATTGCGGACCACATCATTAAAGCCTTCATTAAATTACAGAACAAATAATGAACAGACGAAGTAACCCAAAACAAACTATTATTCCAGAAACAACTGCACCTCGATGAAAGGAACACGGTTCATGGAGATGGTTGATAAAAGGTCCAATGCGGTAGGCAAATTGGGACCGTCAGCCTTGCTGTATGGCTTGTCCTGCATAATCAAGAGAGGGTTATCATAGTCCAGCTCAAGGATATGAGCAACAGAGATGGAGAGAGATAAGCATACCTTGAGATGATCAACCTTCACAATAAGAGGATCTTCATTGACCTGTACACACAGAATCCGAAAACGAGTTTTCGGATTAGAGGGTAAGGAAAACGACACTATGGTCTTATGATATTGTGAGAAGAAAGAGGAATGGGGAAAGATGGAGTTTAATCTGTAATATACCATCTCTGTGATCCGAAGCCGACCATGACCAACAAGCTCATGACCAGCAATCATATCCCCACCGTTGTCATCCACAATCTGGCCAGCCACATTATACAGAATACAGTATCAACATCACCATTCCAAGTCCGTCCCCTGCTTCGACGACAAAAATGAGGGGGGAAAAGCCCAACTGAAATCGGATTAACCAAAATGTTGAAATGGAGAAGAGGTACCCCAGCTAGCGTTCCAACTTGGTGAAGACGATTCAAGAGATCCTTGCCCGTGAGACAGCCGGTGCTTTTCTCCGACTTTAAATCAGTGCTTGGCTCGTCTTTGAGCAGAAAAACACCAACATAAGGCGCTCGACTTTCCAATATTTCTCGATATGCTGGCTTCAGTTTAGGATAAAGAATGCCATGACAAACAAAAGAAGCAACGAACTCACTCGGTTGATAAAAAGCACGGAGAATTTAGGCAGCTACAATAGAATGCGCCTACCAAAACTCAACAGGGCAAGAATGTGAAATACCTTCTGCACATTGACAGATGTAATCATACTGGGAAACAGAGGTCTACCAGTCCATGGCACCGCCAATACCTGCCAACACAAAGTAAAAGATGAACAAAACGCAAAAAACCCTGACACAACAATACCATCCGCGAGTAACATTGCAGATCAGTGGCCCTTTTCATACCCTGATACAGATGCTAAAAAGAAACCTCCAAGTTCTTTTGTCATGATGGGGGGCACCATTGAACCATCCAGATTTAGTGATGAAGACGACAAACTGGGGAAAACCCCCAACTCACGATCCATTCTTTAACACTAATCCATATTAAATTGCGAATATGAGAGCTAATATATTAATTAACAATAAAACCCTAAAACCCAACAGAAGTATTAAAAAAACCCGGTTCCTCAAAGCTCAAACAGCATCCAAACAAAACACAAAAACCAGCAATGTAGAGCGTCATTCTTTACAAATACCAACCGTGGCATGGTCCTCGAGCCTAGGAGTGACGTAACCCGGGAGAGGGAAATCACTTTGACCGAGATTGGGGTTCAACGAACCAGAACTTCGGGCGGAGCTGGGAGGAGCTGCAGCTGGTCGGAGGAGGAATTGAGAAGCGAGGTGAGCGAGGCAGCTGCGGGAGGACCTTCAACATTGAGATGGAATGCAAATTGGCAGAATTGATTCTAGGGTCTTCGGTTGCAGAGAGAATAGAACGAAGACGACCGGGAGGGCAAGGTTCAGTAAAAACGAAATGATGATGATGAAGTAATAAAATTTGTACATGGATAATTTTTTTATTATTATTATTGGTGAAAAATACTTGGGTAATTTCATTTGACTTCAAGTAAAACTGAACAGGCTGGGTCCGGTTAAGGCTGTGGGCTAATTGGGCTGGTTCCTTTACATCAGTAAGCAAAACAACCATGGGCTTGAGAACATTTGGCCCACACAATAAATCAATGAGCACTTCTATGATATATAGTATGGCCAATACTATGGTGTCGCGGTTAAAAGTGCGGCACATTGGGTCACGTAGATGCTTATGTGGCTTGGTTATTACTCTCAAAACCGAGAAATTCTTTAGTGGTCCAAATCCAAATCGGTCACCCAACCCAAACATATGCAACTCTGACCGCTGACCAGGAATATTAACTCTCATATATGTTAGCTATTTGATACTTAATTCAATCATATATGTTAACTCTCAACATCATAAATATGTGTCTCGGAGATGGATGAACAACTCTTCCTGTGATGCCTTGCCCAGGTGAAGGGTGAAGAAGAAGAGGTGAATGCTGCAACCCAGAGGGGGAAAGAAACGTGGCAATGCCTGGAGAATGCAGCGAGTCTCAAGCCAATAACTGGAGACACTTGTATTCTAGTCAGTAGAAGACATCTGTAGGTGTGGCATTGTAGGATATAATTGACGTTGGTGTTATGGCAACGAGTTGGTAGCTCCTGATCTTGTAGTAATGCCCTGTTCGATGAGATGCTTAATGTTCCCTTTCGTAAGCTTATGAGAAGGGAAAAGAAAGGAGATATGCAATAGTTATTAGGTTCATTTTCAATTAGCTGTATTGTCAATAGAGTGCCCAGCCCATGTATGTATTCCTGTGCTCATTTCAACCTATTTTGTCAAGAGTAATCGATGACAATGAAAAAATTCTGATTTTCATCCTTCCAACCGATGTTACCATCATATCATGGATTGTGTGAGTAGTAGTGTCAAAAAAATGTAATAAACATTACCATCCTGTGTGTGCACAACTGCTAGTTATCAATGCTATCTTTCTGCAAACAACTAACTAATCATAATCCAACAAAGTACTACAGTGGTTTTGCGTCTTGTTTGCTTGAAAATCATTGTAAGCACGTGCCATCGGATTGGGGTTTTGACTCTTCTCATAGGGAGCTCGCAGAGGCAGGAAAATTCTCTTTCTATTTGGCTTGGGATTGTGTGGATCCGATGGCAGTGAAGCATTTCGACGGAGATTAAGTACCGGCCGAAACGAGCGGCGAAGAAATTAGTCGGAACTCGGAACCCGTGTTGCTGAGTCAACTTAGCCGGAGGCTGCAGAGAGACGACGAAATCTCTCCGTTGCTTTTCAACTTATGATCGGAAAACTGTACGATTTACCCCCCAAAAAAAACGAATTAAGAAATAATAAACTAATTCATGGTTAGTTGGGCGCGCGGGTTGCAGAGCATTGGGCCCGTTTCATGGCCAACGGGTTTGAGTTACGTTTTATAAAACCAACTAATGCCATGTCATTTTCTCAACATTAACGTGGACCAATTAAAAAGAGGCGGCACCGATGCCGCACTTTTAATTGTGGCACTGTAGTATTGGCCGTATAGTATTGGTGCTTTAATGTACAACTTGAAATTGTACCATAACATTAAATGTATAAGTTTAGGTTGTACCATAAAGAAATTTATACTATTATGTTATGATACAACTTTACAACTTGAAGTTGTACCATCACATAAAGGTACAAGTTCAAGTTGTATCATAAAAAAATTTGTACAAAAAGTATAGTTACAATATGAAGTTGTACCATAACGTTATAGGTACAATTTCAAGTTGTACCATAAAGGCAAAAACCTATAGTACCAATACTATATAGCATTGTAAAATTCCTCTAAATCAATCAAGAGTATCATTTATGAGCACTTCTACTATGCTATATAGTATTGGTGCTTTAATGTACAACTTTAGGTTGTACCATAACAATAAATGTATAAGTTTAGGCTGTACCATAAAGGAATTTGTATCATTATGTTATGGTATAACTTTACAACTTGAAGTTGTACCATCACATAAAGGTACAAGTTCAAGTTGTACCATAAAAGAATTTGCACAAAAAGTATATGTACAATTTGAAGTTGTACCATAACGTTAAAAATACAATTTCAAATTGTACCATAAAGATAAATACCTATAGCACCAATGCTATATAGCATTGTAAAATTCCTCAACATTTATACTGAAAGTTATAACTGCATCCCCAATTCAACAAATTCCTGGCCTTAGAGTGTTTTTCGACTTCTGACGTGGTTGCCCGTTTTGGCGAGAATTTTCCCATCTTTATCCCTCTGTCGTCGACTGCAAGCGGTCTCCCTCCCTTTTTTCTCTTTCCATCCCGCAACTCATTCCCTATATCCCCCTCTACCCTAATCCATTCCCGTATGAAACTGAATTAGAAGAGAAGGACGACAAGACAAGGGCTTTTCCGCTTCTTTTCTCTCTTCCTCGACGAATCGAAGGCCTAACAAAGGTTAACAGGAGCAGGTATGATCTTCTTGTCCGACAGGGTCATTCTGGACAGAGGAATAGAGATAGGGATGACAATGGGTCGGGTTGGGGCGGGTTTTGCCAAACCCGAACCCAAACCCATGGGTTTATCCGCCAAAAAAACCCGGGGTAAAACCCGCTGGGTTTGAAAAACTCAAACCCAACCCGCTGGGTATCCGCGGGTTCATGGGCACCCGTGGATTTTTGTGGTAAAAAATTTACAATAACAAATTTCTTTCAAAATAAAAGTCTAACATCAATTTTCTCATAAAAATTATCCTTACAAAAAACACTAATCTAGAGCATACAATACAAGCAAACCCGAAATTATCAATACAAATTGTTCAAAATTAAAGATAAACATCTATAAACAACATGATTAATTGAAAGCTTCTTCCTCCTTGTCAACTAAACTTCTTCACTCTCCACTCCATAATATCAACTTCATTGTACACAATTAGAAAGAATAAATTAGACATGTCTCCACAAACATAAAGAAGATTAGTTATTTAAGAAAGATATATTGCAAATAACCCGGAAAAATTAATTATATGAGTGTGGGCGGGTACCCATGGATCGGGTTTACCTAAACGCAAACCCAACCCGATAAATAGTGTAGCGGGTTTAAACCCAAACCCGGCCCCAAAATCCGTCAACACGGGTTTTACCCGCGTTGACCCGGTTAGGTCGGGTGGGTACCCGTGGGTTCGGGTTTTGTTGCCATCCCTAAATAGAGAGAGGCTGGAAGGTTTGGGGTTCGTTTCTGGGGTGGGTCGGCGACGAATTGAGGAGGTAACAGAGGCTGCTTGCTTTGGTCTTCTTCTCATCCTCTTTCCCCGTCTTTTATCTTTGTGGATTTGCTTTCTCTCCTCCTATCTATTTTGTTGGACAGCGAAGACGATGAAGAAGAAGTAGAAGGTTGCGAAGGAGGAGACAGGAGACGACGACAAAGAAGAATGGGGAGGAGAACTGAGAATCGGGCCAGATTCCTCTTCTAGAAAAGGAGAGGACGGAGAGGAACAAAGAAAATCAAACCTCTTCTCTTGCAAGAGCTGACCAGTAAGGTCTCTTTCCTTTTTTATTTTAGAAAACTCTCCTTTATCTTTAGCTTAATCTCTTAGGAATGGAAAAACGACCAACCCCATCCTCCATAGTGATGTTACTGCACAATGTAACCAGATCAAAGGGGTATCGTTGGACTTTCTATAACCAACAAGAAATTTACAGCGCTGGAGATGATTGACTATCGCGGCAGTTGATTCCTAATTTTCCCTCATCTTCCATCCACTTTCCTCCTTTTGCAGATGAAGAAGTTGTTGTTGCGGTTCAATTTCAGTCTGGTGATGCTGAAAAATTACAAGCTATTGTTTGATGATGGCGTGTGCGAGATTATCAATCAACAAAGCTGACAACTTCATGGTGGCTAAAGTCCTGATGACTTCCAACATAATTTTCTCTCTTGCTATGTCACAAAATGGTGAAGTAGCATTCAAGAGCGAAAATATGGATAAATCCTTACTATGGCATCTCAGATACGGTCATCTCAACTTCAAAGGCCTCAAATTGCTGAGGCAGAAAAATATGGTGGCGGGACTTCCCCAGATCAACAAAGAAGACAAGATCTGTGAATGATGCATATATGGTTTACCATTTCTAAAGACATCTTGGAGAGCAAAAGCTCCACTGGAGTTGGTACATGCAGACATATGCGGTCCAACGCGAACACAATCGCTCAGCGGCAAAAGATATTTTCTACTATTTGTAGATGACTTCACCAGAATGATGTTGGTATTCTTTATGGAGCAAAAGTCAGAAGTTTTTCCCAAGTTCCTTCAATTCCAAGCAGTAGCTGAGAAGGAAAGAGGCCATCAAATTAAAACTCTCCGAACAGACCATGGAGGAGAATTTATTTATACTCCGTTCATGGGAAATTGCCGCAACAACAGAATCAAAAGACAACTGACGGTCCGTTACACACCACAACAAAATGGCGTGGCAGAACGAAAAATCGCACGATTGTGGAGATGGCGAGAAGCATGCCCAAAGCAAAAAAGCTTCCCAATAACTTGTGGCGAAAGCGGTCAATACGACGATTTACATCCTCAATTGATCATCAACCAAAGCAGTTCGGAACAAGACAGTGATACATGCGTGGCACCGCAGGAGGCCACAGGTTGATCACCTCAAAGTCTTTGGGTGCATAGCTTATGCACATATCTCTACCCCAAACCGAGACAAGTTTGACCAGAAGGGAGAGAAACTAATCTTCACCGGCTATAGTGATGAATCCAAAGGCTATCGTCTTTACAACCCAGTAAAGAACGAAGTGATGGTTTCCCAAAATGTGGTCGTTGATGAAATAGCGGAGTGCAATTGGGAAAATCCAATTTCTCAATCTCCACCAAGTTATGAAATTCTGTAGGACTCAGCAACTCCAGAAGACCCCAGCACAGAACCGGATCCAGTTGCAAGTCCGGAAAGAAATTATGCACCTAGTGCAGAAGGAGACAACTTCAGAGACGTCATAACAGACTCGGATTCACCTCTGTCGAGAACAAGATCTTTGAGAGAAATTTATGAAATAAGTCATGTTGCATATTTTTCTTGTGAACCTCAAGTCTTTGAAGAAGCATTCAAAGATGAAATTTGG